ATTTACTGACTTGAACTACGAGAAGATTATTCTTTGTATCACGTTGAAGAGGATTCGTATCTCTGACCTCCAAGTATAGAAACATTGATGAACTTATATGGCATCTCCATCATGAATTTTTAGTTGAGAAACTCTCTATTAAAATAATAGCTTTCTCCCTCCTCGGTGTCGTCCTCAACACGAATCCTCTCCCAGTGTGTCAAGTCGATGCGTCATGGGTGGACCATGGGCCCACTAGCGGACTGGGATGGAGTTGTACCGATACATCCGAAAAAGTCCACACCAGTAGACGAGGTTATCGGAGGAGCTTATCGGCCTTACATGCAGAGCTCGAGGGCCTTACATGGGCAATGGAATGTCTAAAACAAAATGGCTTTTTCGATTCGTTTTGAGACAGATCGACTGCTCGGACTTATTGAAGATGATAGACAACCTATTAGATTGGCCAGCATTTCAGACAGAGTTAGACTACATGTATGAGCTCAGAGACAGCTTTGCAATTTTTCATTTATCCCTTATCCCACGTTCTTGTAATGCCCATGCCGATGCTTTTGCAAAGGATGCTCGTGCACGCGGCTATATATACCTTTTCCCATGTAGATCTCGATGAGCCGGGAAGGGTTACTCCAATTAGAGTGATCTCTACCGACCAACTTTGATTTAATATATGGAGTTTGATGAAAAAAAATGAAAAAGTAAGAAAGAGGATGAAGAAAAATAAAAAGGATGGGAGAACCGTTTCTTATTCTAGAAACTCATGAGAGGCTTTTTGGTTGGGCCTCAGGTATATAACACCATTCATAGTAGACTTTTTGGACACTTGTCCTAAAAGTTGAATAATTGATCATTTTGTTAAGAGTAATAAAATCAATTGAAGGAATATGCGTTAGCTTCTTTGCCTCTTAAATTCTAATCATGGAAGCAACAAAGTCAAAGGACATACAATTATGTCCTAATCATCCCATTCTCCTCTCAACAAGGCGAATCATATCTTCCCTTGTGCGTAATCTATAACTGCCAGCCGGAAATATGTACCAAATTATTGTGAAATAAGTTTAATTGCTAGAACAAAAAAAAAAGTCTAATGAAACAAGAGATCGAATTAGTGGAATGTAGACACGCTTTTTAACTCATTGAACATAACGAAAGTATTTTAGTTCGTAAACTTTAATTAGTGCATTAGAAAGAACCTAAAATCAACACTATTGTCAAAATACGTCCACTGACGTTGTTAGCTTATATAGTAGTAATTTATAAAAACTAATGTGATACAAAAAAAAAACAAATATTTGTTGCGTAATACCTCAATATTAATGTTGGAAATAATGAAAACAATGAATGTCCCCTTTCCTTGCAAAACATTTAAGCCTATAACTTAGTTGGAACAATATTTATAAATAAATTGGCCAAAAAAATTAATCAAGTCTTTTATTATACGATTAATATAAAACGATGAACGAGAAAGTTCCAAAAGGTCGGTCAGTATGAATAAGACACAACAACTACTATAAATACAGGACTTTGAAGACAAGTAGGTTAACTAAAACATCCTTAATTTCTAAACCTACGCACTCTACAAAAGGTACGTACATCAGAAAGAGTAAAAGACTATCTATCTATCTCCCTTTTACTC